TTGAATAATACTGTAAGTGTTAAAAAATTCCTCTCCTTTATTTAAAGTACAGAGACAACTGAGAGTAAATATCACTGTAAAATGTGTAAATATTTTGTTATCTATTTTATGCCTATTGTAAAAGTTCCATTACTAAAATCACTTTTAAAATGAAAGGATTATAAACATCTTTAGTGTTTAAATAATCTCTTGAAATAATAATCTGGGAAGTTAAATCTTATTCTGAGAGAAAAGTCTAAGACTGCAATTACCCTGCAGTCATCAAAGCAATTATGCTGAAAACTGGAAGAGTTCACTGTAAACTCATTAGTTCACTGGAAACTATTGAAGAAAAATCTGATTGAGATTGAAAAAAAAATGGTCTACAATAAATTGCTATAATCTGTCTATTAATAAATACAAATTGTAAATTAGAATTGTTCTGATCTGGAGAGAGGGAACTCCTGGGGCAATTTCTCAGTTGGAGTTCAAGGGCTAAAATAAATTGTTCAGGATCTGTTAAGATCTGCCTTCCCTGATATTCATTGATGTTGAATTAACAAAGTTCTACTCATTTACCAGGCTGGTTGGCTTTGGCAGTTCCCCTCCATATATTCCAATGGGCATAAAAACATGCCTCATATCTTTTCTCTGAAAAGAGGCATAGTCATATGTTTTTTTCCTGTTGGATGAAAAATTGAAGCTCAGAATTTTTCTGATGAAAAGTTGAAAAAAATTTCTAACCTAAAAGTGTAAATCTAGGCTTTTAGAGGTAATGAATGTTTGCAGCTTCTATTAACTACAATATCAAGCCTAGGATAACTGTGGAATATCATTCTCTCACAGCAAAACCACTTATTCATTAGTGATTAACTGACACATACACAGACAGAGGAAACAACCAGAATTTTATAGGTTTTTTTTGTTCCCAGTAATTAAAACGTTTACTCCCTTTTAATATAGCACCTTATTTAGAGAAAGAAAATGCTGAGGTGTAGATTTATAACCCCCGTTTATTTTTTCATATAATTTACTGCTTTTTCAATATATATTATCTTTATCATTGCAGCTTGTCTTATACTCTCTTATTTCAGCTGTGTTCAGTTGAATTTCAGGGTCATCCCTGAGTATACATCATGTAGTCCTTTATAGGGGGAATGTTCATGTGGAAGATGAGAATATTGATGCCATTCCTTAATTTTTAATGTTCCTGATCTGTGAGCAAGTCTGGTTTATAGTTATCCTGAAAGCATTACTCATAGAAGCCAAACCATACAAAGACTAACATCTTTTATTTAAGTAATATGGAATAAACTACAAGGTACAGATTACAGTTTAGTCCTGTTCTGCAAAATCTGCTTTTTGATGTACATTTTTATGACTTGGCTGCACTATTTTGCAAACCTCTTTGCACGTTTGTATATACACTGAAGAAAACTGTTAATTCATTTATATTGTTTTTATATTTTTTTCTTTTATGGTTTCTCATGCTGCTTTTTTTCCCCCCGTCTCTGGCATTTACATATCAGTAACTTGTTCCTGTTCTCATTTCTTCTTGTATTTGAGAGTGTTTTTCAGTAATGAAGATTATTATTATCAGAAATTGCATATATTTCAGTGAATTTGTTATTTGTGAGTTCATGTTCTGCCCTGCAGATTGTGTGCTCTTTGGGGGATGTTTTTTTGATACTTTAGTGCAAACATAAAGCCTTGTTTTGTACTGGTGACTGCATTACCTAGCACCATAGAAAAATAAAATTAAAAATAAAATAAAAAGTAATATTTAAAAAAACAGTAATTCAATAGGAAATAAATAAAAATACATAGGATTAAATTTTGAGTGTGTATCAGCTGATTTACACAAGCTGAGACTCTAAGCTGCAGCATTTCATCAGCTTTGTCCATGTTTATCAATTTTCTGGGGTTGGAGCACCTTACATGAGTATATATATGGATAAAGTCAAAACATGTTCAAAATCCTTCTGTATTATTAATGCCATAAATGCTATAATGCTAGCACTGTAATAATAATGCTATAAAGCTAGTTTTTGTCATTACATAGAAATATATATTATTTGTTTTACACATGCAACAAATAAAGTTATAATGTATTAAAGTGGTAAACTGAGTTTCTTCAGGAAAGGCATGCCAGACGTAACTTTTTTCTCCTTCTCATTTCCACTGTCCTGTTTATAGTGGGGTTCTTTACATTATCTCTGGCACACATATTGCTTTATGCTAGAATTTCAGGCTTCTACTGCTGAAATCTCTTGGTACATAATTAGAGAAAAAAAATCCCCAAAAAACTGTGAAAATAAAGAACACCACAAATAACATACCTCAGCACCTAGCTTTGCCCTGTGTGTGCCAGACCACCAGGTGAGGACCAGTGATTTGCAAACATATACTCCAAAGTGCTGCTGTCTTGCTGAATAATTTAGCCCTGAATCATAAACAAAACTCTTCTTCACAAGAGAACAAAAAACACACTCTGAGAGCTCTTCAGTCACTGGTGTACAGAGAATTCTTCTTTTTTGTTCATCACAAGGGAAGAGTTACCTGCTTGAAGAAGTAGTCCTGCAGCTTAACTAGATTTGTCAAACAGGACCCATATATGTACTGATTAAAAAAACTGTGGCTTAACTCAGGACATAGAGGTACAAGGGATCGGAATGAAGTTGAGCTGAGAAGGGACAAATAAAAGGAGGGTGGATTTAGATTTGTCATTATGTCTATCCTACTCTGTTTAATTGGCAAAAAGCTAAATTAATTTCCCCATATTGAATCAGTTTTGCCCATGATGGTAATTGTTGTTTGATGTCCCTTCCTTTATCTCAATCCATGAGCTTCTTATCACATTTTTCCCCCATCTTCTGTTGAGGCTGGGAAGTGAAAAAAAAAAAAAAAAAAGCAAGCTGGTGGGCACCTGGCATCCTGCCAAGTCAACTCATTCACCTTAGTATTTGGTAATTTAATTAATTGTATATTTCATAATCTTTTGTTCAAAACTATCATCTAGGATATCTGAAAAAGGGATGAACGCTCTCCCCCTTGCTTTTAGCTTAACCAGATAACAGGCATTTCAATGTAATATAATGAAAATACAGGGTTTAAAACACTATACACAGTGAAAACAAGATTTTTTTTACTTGTTTGAAATTAATACTTTGATTGTGAATTCTGCTCCCAAGTAAAAAATTAAACTAATGTTACTAGCAAAAAAGTAATTATTTGAAGAGGCCTGCAATTTGATATAAATGTGTAGGTAGGAGGATTAGTGACCCTTCTTTATTGTCTGTGATTCTATACAGGGACTCTAGGCCACATCCAACCAGCTGTGTAAACCTCTGAGTGGAGTTGTTATTTATCCAGTCAGATAGCCAGGATAAATACTATGGGGTTAAAGTGCATAAACAACTTCTGCTCCTTTGTGTCTCATCATCTCCACAAACCTCAGGAGTCTTAACTCAATGACACCTTCATACTCCTCTAATCAGCAGTACAGATAGAAAGGTGCAGAGAGCCTGTGGGGAGTTCCATTTACATCAGAGGTAAATGGCTAAATACATTAATTTGATAATTGTAAAAATTGCTACAGCCTAATTTAAATTTATAGGTGAATTTCCTGTTAGTTGAAAATGACCTTAAGGTTTGATTAGACCTCTAGGTTAATGAAGACAACTAGGAAATACAGACTGACTCTCCTGATGTTACCACTTCGATCTGATGCCAGCTGTGATCCAGAATCAGAACAGGCTGCTCAGGGAAGTGGTGGAGCCACCATCCCCAGGAAAAATTGAAATAGGTGTAGACCTGACACTGGGGGACATGGTTCAGTGGTGACTTGGCAGTGTTGGATTAACGGGTGGACTTGATGATCTTACAGGTTGTGATAATTGATAAAGATTCGCGTTAATCACAAAAGTATTGGGGTTTGTATAAACCAGAATATTAAGGCCTGAAGTGAAGCATGGACACTAGATAAAGGAAATTATATGATTAAATCATTCTGTTTTAAATCACCTTGTTATGTTATATTATGTTATGTTACATTATGTTATGCTATGTTATGTTTTCCAAATAAGTTGTATCTACTACCAGCTTGCAAAATCAGACTTCTCAATAGTCTTTCCTGCCTTTGTTTGATCAATGCTGCCTATCTACAAAACACAGAATTTTAGATTTCGCTGGTGGTTATCTACAAGGACCAGATGGTTATCTGTAAGACTGATTTATTGCCCGGAGACTTTGTGAATTTGGATACGGATGTTTATTTGACCACCACTGCTTACCTAGTAAAATTATGACAGCAAAAAACCCAAAAATTATTGATTACAATGAGAAATCATAGTATAAGAAGAGACTGCAAACCAAGGTTCAATGCAGTATGGAGTGGGAGGTGACCCCTCACGTTCCCCAGCGCTGCTTGCTCCGTCTATATCAAATAAAGCAATCTAAATTTTGCTGAATATCGAGACTTTTGTTTCTCATTTATAACAAGGTCTTTTCCAATCTAAACTGTTTTATGATTCTAAAATTGTACAAGACTGTGAATCACTAGTACAGGCTGCTTTCACAAACAACGGAAAACAAGCTTTCAGCCCAAAATGTGTGAGGCAAACTAGCTGACGGATATGCAGGCGGACAGAAGTGTCATGCAAAGGACGAGGCGTGAGATTGATGCCTGAGGAAAACACATTTCATCTCTAGAAGGCAGGGCCGGGAGCCACCGGGGCCGTGCAGATGCCGTCGGGTTAAACCCGCGCCCAAAGCCGCCGGGGTGGTACAGATGCCGTCGGGTTAAAGCCGGGCCCGGAGCCGCTCTGCTGCCGTCGGATTAAAGCCAGGCCCAGAGCCGTGCCGCTGCCGTCGGGTTAAAGCCGGGCCCAGAGCCGTGCAGCTGCGTCGGGTTAAAGCCGGGCCCAGAGCCGTGCCGCTGCCGTCGGGTTAAAGCCGGGCCACGGCGCCGCCCTCAGCGCCGCCCGCCCGGGGCCGTTGCTGTGGCAGCGCGGCGCGGCGGGAATGGCGGCGGCGCCTGAGGGGCCATGGTGCGCAGTGAGTGTCGGACAGCGCCGCTTCCCTCCCGTCCCCGGCCCCGGCCCCTGCCCCTGCCCCTGCCCTCCTCTCCTGTACGGACCCCGCGCCCTACAGCCTCCTTCGTGTCTGCTGAAGGGCAACAAAGCTGGGGGAAGGAGCTCAGTCTGATAAGGAGCGGCTAAGAGAGCTGGGGGTGTTCAGCCTGGAGGCTCAGGGGAGACCTTATCGCTCTCTACAACTCCCTTAAAGGAGGCTGTAGCAGAGGGCTGTCGCCCTCTTCTCCCCTGTAACAGGTGGCAGGACAAGAGGAGATGGCCTCAAGTTGTGCCGAGGGAGGTTTAGTTTAGATGTTGGGAAAATTTTGTTCATGGGAGGGGTTGTCAAGCCCTGGAATAGGCTGAGCAGGGAACTGGTGGAGTCGATGCACCTGGAATTTTAAAAGTCATGTAGATGTGGCATTTAGGGACACGGTTTCATGGTGGATTTGTCGGATTGCATTTGATAATCTTAAAGGTGTTTTCCAATCTAAACAATTCTCTGATTCACATTGCCTCTCGCCACAGTTGTCTCCATTCTCCACCATCCCCAAGCTCCCCTGGCAGACCCCTGCCCTCCTGGCTCCCCTGGATGATTGTCAGATTTTCCTCTTCCCTGGCAATAACCCCCCATTTTATCTCCCCACACAAAGCACAGGGGTTCCTTGCCTCTCAGAGCAGCCCCTGAGAGGGCCAGCAGTGGGGACTGGGTGGCCCAGGTGGGGACTCCTCCTTGTGTGGGGCAGCCCCTGCAAGGGGCGATGCTGAATAGCATGGCTTGTGTCTGAGCCCAGGTCTGCCAGATGTGGAAAAGCCCCAAAGGAGGTAAAATACTCCATAAAGTTACTTATGAATTGATCGTCTTTTAGAGGTACTGCAGTATGACCCGAAAGACTGAGTGCTCACACCTTTTGCTCATGAAAAAAGGAGTTCCCTTCCTCTGTGATTTTTCTTGTAATCTGTTTTGGATGGATATTATTACTGCCAGTCCCGTGCTGGGCTAAACCAGTGCTTTGGGTAGGAACGCCTCTCTGCAGGCAAGTGGCAGATGCCGTCTTTGAGCAGGCACTGCCTGAAGGAGAATGACTTTATCTCCTGAACAGCACAGTGAAACAGTGTGAATTTAAGTCTTAAAGTAATGGTTGCATACTTCACTTTTCTGAAATGCAGCTTCCCCCACCGTCTCCTGATGCACCTGCAGCTGTCCATCTGCTTATTCTTTCAATTTCTTTAGTATTATCCTTCATTTCTGGTTCCTTTTTTTGAGTAAAACATGTAATTTTTGGAAGCCCAGGCATTAGAACTTCAAGATCTGTTCTCTCCACTTGATTGATGCCATTCCTCATTTCCTCCTGTGTTCATGGGAACCTGGGAGTAGCTGTGATCTCTCAGGTCACTGCTCCAGTGTCCCCTTACTGCACACAACACCAGAAAATCTGGTTAATGAACGTCTTAGTGAGTTCAGTGTGTTTGTCAATGTCCTGGAGATGCTGCTATTTACAATTTTATTTAATATTTATTTTTTCTTGCAAGCTTGTTTTCCTAATTCCTCTTAAATGAACTAGATCTTACACAAAATGTCAAGTATTCAGGCAGTTTCCTACAACAGGATCTCAAATTAGGTTTCTGAAGCTTCACTGTAGCTTCTATTGTGAATGATTGTCTGCTTTGCAAATCATCTGTTAATGAAGGTGGACATTTTTGTAGAATTGATGCAAAAATAATTTCAATTTTCATCAGCAAATGGAAATTGGTGTGTAATTAAGCTGTCAGGAATAATTTATATGACTTCTTTTTGTATAAAGGGTATAGAGCATAATATTGCCACCAGTGTGTATGTATGCAGATTGGGGAGTGTTGTTTTCCTCCCCAAAATTACCTGGTAATAGTGGCACTGAAAAATCTGCCACCAAATGCAGAAGTAAGCAGATTTTTTTCCCCTTTTAGTTTCTGGTAGATTTCCCAAGTAACTTATTAGAAATACAATTTTTTTTAATATTTAGTGTGAAGGATAAAGTATTTAGTCATGATTATTGACTTTTTTCTCTTTTCTCTGTTACTTTAATCAAGTTCAAGTGGAAGGAAATGTGATTGTTCAGATGTAACAAACCTGCTCAACATGGTTAATGTGCAGACAGGTTTCCCCCTCCAATCAATATCTGTATCTCCATATTTAATTCTGTAAATTAATTCTGTCAGGTGTAAGTCTGTTCAGCAGAAAGGAGATTTATGCCTGGACATCTATAAATAATACAATATAGACACAACCAGTTTCACCCCTTTCCCAAAGACTGCAGATAGAGGAGCTGTATGGACACACGTGAGTTTGGGCTGTATTGGTACTTAGTTTGCTGGTCCATGTGAATGTGTGCAGTCATTCCAGGATCACTAATACAACTGGATGATTTCACAAAACCTTCCTGAGACAAAGAAGTAAAAGAGTACTTTTAATCAGTGCATGGTAGGAACAGTTTGTTTTCACAGATCTTTGTCAATTTTTTCTTTTTACTTATTTTTCTCCAGATTTTTTTGAGAGGCTTTTCTCTCTTTTTTTTTTCAGCATTAAAAATCTTGAAAATACCTGTGCTAATTTGATAAACCCCTGTGTTTTTCCTCATTACTTCACTGTAGTCCAGTGGTTGTCAAGGAAAGGAAAATGCTGGCACTTTTTGGTGCAAAATACTGGAAACAAAGTTCTAGCATCTAGCTGAGAAGTGAGCACTGGTTCTTAGAGAATTTCTTTACCTTCATTGTTCAGAGCCTTTTCACTGTTTGAAAGATTGCCTGGCATTAAATATTAGAATATGATAACTGAACCCAGGTCTCTGCTGGCTCTGATGAGCTGGTAGTGGCTAACAAATACCAGGTATACATTTCATTCTAACATAGACATTTATAAACATGACTTAGTTATGGCATAAAAAATATCTGCCTACTTCCAGCATTTATCCTGCTTATTTCTGTGCACACTGTGCTGGTGGAAGAATATGATGACACACTGTAGTTTGCTTCCTCCCCACCCCCCACTGCTGTCTGTGATGTGAACATCTGGCATCTGGAAATAAAACAGCATCAAACACTCCACTACTTGTCCACATGAATCAATCTGCAACCCAAGCTGTGCTGAAAATAGTGGCTGCAGGATTAATTTCTGCAAGGGTTGTATCACATTCTTTTGATAGACTCAGCAGTTTTCATAAGGATCTTTCCAAATGTTACAGGTGACGTGACTGAGTTTCACAAAAGATGTTTACTGTGGCAGAGTGGGTCGAAGCTGTTTGGTACTTGATATCTTGATATCTTTTCTGGCAGATTTTTTGTTGTCATTGCTACCGGGCTATTTGGTATACTGCAACAAAATATTTTAATGATTTTATAATTTGCTCATAAGTCAGATGGCAGAAAATGATTAAAGGGAAATATGACATCTAATATTTCTTTCAGTCACTGAAGATCTTATTAGAAGACGTGCAGAACATAACAACTGTGAAATTTTTTCACTGGAAGAAATTTCTTTACATCAGCAGGAAATAGAAAAGCTAGAGCATCTTGACAAATGGTGTAGAGATTTAAAAATTCTCTATCTTCAGAATAACCTAATTCCAAAAATTGGTAAGTCTTTTCTCAATATGTTTCTTTTAAAATGTATTCACATGCATAATTTTGAAATCAGAAAAAAAAAGTATTCTGTTATACTTAAGGGAATGTACCCTGGTTTCTTTATTAAATTTCCAAGAAGTTCAGAAATTGGGGAGATTTTAAATTAAAAAGATACTACTGAGATACAAGTCACTAGAATATGACTGTGAAACACATTTTATGGATTAAAATTTCAAAAATCAGGATATAGTTTAAATATCCCATCTTGTGGCAGAGACAAAGAGTTTACCATATACCATGGACTAATATAATGGGATTAGCTCTTTCAGGCTCTTTTAAGAATTTAATTTTCATGCAAATTATATTTTTTATTAAAATTGAAATAATTTTTATTCAGATAAAATACTTGCTTATGTGCATGAGCCAAATTTTCTGCAACAAATGGTCTGTGGTCTTAATGGTCTTCCTGCACCACAGAAGAAGTTATAATTTCATATGGTTTTGTTCCATACTGGAAGATGTGATATTAAGCCTTGGGCTGGAAAAGCTTAGATTGTACATGTACTGTCTAGATGAACAATGAAAAGTTGGAAGTGTGCAGAAATTGTATATCTCTTTGAAGTTCCTTAAGAGGAAGAAAAAAATACTAAGGTTTAGGAGGAAGTTCTGTTCTCAGGGCTTGGAGGCAAATCCTTTAAGTTTTCTCAAGGGACTCATCAGGAAATTCTACTGATAACATATGCATTTCCTAAAGTGGAGTAATCTTCTCCCAGAGATAAGTTTTTTTAAACTGCTTTGTGCTTCTTTGCCCCATCGGAAGAAGGACTAAAATAAGTTGATTTTCTCTCTGATAATGTGTCCTTAATAAGGCATAAGATTTTATGTTGTGTTTTTTTCTGTCAGCTCTCAGGCCTCTTTCAGGTTAGCGCAGGATATGATATTCAGATTGCTGCTTTTTGAACACAAAATCTTTTCAGCAATTTTATTTTTCAGACAAGCAATTATTATATTACCATAATCTAACTGTAGGAGTTGAAAAAGTATTCAACTTGGTGATTCATATATTCTTGTATAATGTGATAGCTTTCCAAGGTAATACCTTAATTACAAATGAAGAAAAAAACCAACCCTAAAACAAAAAAGAACCAAAACAAGCACCACCAACCCCTCCCCACACTATAATAGTGACCAAAAACTTTGTCAACAGGGGTTATGTTACATAGGACTGAAGTTGAGAAGTTATTCTTCCCAGTGGATACCAACATGTCTTTGCAGAGGACACAGCAGTTCCAAGCATGCTTCTGAACATGATAGAGAAATGGTTTCTATTGGCTCCATGGGGCTGTGTCATTTCTCTTAAAGCTCTCGGGATCAGCCCTGCCTCATGAGCAGGCAGGGGCTTGTCAGGCACCCACTGAGTGCAGGGTGGTACAGCTGGCTCCAACACAGCTCTGCCATCATCGTGTGCACACACAGGCACTGCTGATACAGAAATACTGCAGCAAAAACAAACATCCAAACTAAGCTGCACAAGTTCTTGCTGAGAAATTTGTGCCGTCATTTGTTTGTGACTCATGTAGAAAATACCTCTCCAAGTTCTTAGTAAACTGTGGTAGGATTCATGTCACCGAATTTGTAGATATTTCATGTTTCCCAAGATGGAATGTCTCATTGTGCTTTTTCAGCCAATCCTCTTGAATTAGATATGTGTTTTATGGGTTTGTGATTAAAATGTGTTTATAACTTTCCTTATTTATTTTTTTCTTTTTTTAGTTAGTGTTTTCAGAAAACTTCTTTGTTTTGTCCTTTTATTAACATTAAAATATTAATGTCCAGTTATGTGGTACATATTCTGATTTGTCCTTCCTGTTTTTCTGCTTCATTGTTGCTTTGAAGTAAAGTCTTAATGCCCTTTCCAGTACTGAAAACTGAAATAATCCATGTATGTTTTGTTACAGAAAATGTGAGCAAACTAAAGAAGCTGGAATATTTAAATGCAGCTTTGAACAACATTGAAAGAATTGAAAATCTGGAAGGTCAGATTTTGAGAAAAGCCATTTTGCCTTTTCATATTAGAACTTAAGTTGTGACTTGGTGTAGAAGAGGGTGGAAGCTATTAAGCATGCCCACCTGTAGGGGTATTTTATGAAGACTTAGAGGATCCTTGGGTGCAGGGTTTTAATAAATGCTTCTTTATTGCAAGTGCTTCCTACTGCTGATTTTTTTGCATTGAACTTTCCTAAATGTTTCCAGGCCACGTTTCATCTTTAGAAATCAAATGTCACACACAAGAGGGTTCTTGCTCAGCATAGGTTGCATTGAGGATCTGGGTTTTTTTAGAAGAGGCTTTCAGAGGATTTTTTTCACTTTCATTGCTTGAAATCCTGTCTGTCTTATATGTGTTGAATCCTTTGTCCTGTCACTTTTGTACATTTCATGTGCAAAATGTGGCATTTTCCAAGTTTAAAATTTAAGACTTGGAGCCACTCATAAACACATTCCATATTACTTGAATAATTTGTGCCTTGATTGTTTTCTGTTTCTCAGTTCTGATTAGGCCAGTTGCTGGATCTTTTCTTGACAAAGGAATAGTTAAAAACAAACAAACAAACAAACAGATTGGTTGGTTGGTTAATTGTGTGTGTGTGTGTTTTGGTTTTGTTTTTCTTTGGTTTGTTTAGTTGGTTTACTTTGTATTTTTAAGTCTGCAAGCTGGTTCAAGAGGATAGCTTAAATAAGAAGAAAGCAGATAGTCTAAACATAAATTTGAAAAAGTTGAAGAAGTAGGTAGTGTGCTATCTATTTGGCAATTTGTTGAGAAAGTTGCACTTGTTTTCATGCCATTAAATTTTAAATTCATCTATCAGGCTGCATTATTTATTACTGTGATTTGTCATTTACTTAGGAGTTATAACCTTTGGGAATAGCCCTTGCATAAATTTGGGTTATTTAAATCCCCTAATAAATTGTTCTGCGTTGTTTACTTTCTTACAGCTCAACTGTACATAAAACTTAGCAAATAGACCAGGAAAGGCAAGTAATTACAGTGATATGAATCAAAGTTGAGCTTGCTCTCAGCTAAACTTTTTACTCTTAGAGTCAAGGTTATGATTCATGGACACATTATGATAAAAGGAGAAGCTGATAAATTTAAAAAATCAGATTTTCCAGAGCATTTTGCTACCTAACTTAGAGTTTCTGTTTGTAATGAATTGTTTTAGTATAAACACTTTCTCACCAGTATTTGCAATTTAACCAGTGATATTTACAATGACAGCTGAGTCCACAGAGTGGAAAACCTAACTTGCAATGAGTTTTTGGGAAATCTTATCTTTATACTTGAATAATATTACCAGAGATTAACCATTCTCAGACCTGAAACTCATAATTGATCCTGCTGTCCTTAAGTAATTGGATTGATTTTAATCATATGATTGAGACTTAGCTGAGAAAGGGATATTAAGACAATCAGACTGTTAAAAATGAAATCCAGCTTGTCTGAAAATTAAATACTTAATAGCTTATCTATAAATGTCCAAAAAGTTTTGATACTGATAAAACCAATAACGTTATGGTATTTTGTATATTATTGATTTTGTTTTATTCCTGTAAATATTGTAAGCTCATAAACTTTAGCCGTGAGTCACTCTTGCACTCAGAAAATTTTGGAAAAGTTGTGTTCTGATAGAATAAAACCAGTTTACAGAACACAAATGGAGACAATTTTAAATCCAAGTGTGTACTTGTGTGTATGTATGTCATGTGTACATTTATGTTATGGAGAAATTGAATTAATGTTTCTTTCAAACAGGCTGTGAAGAATTGAAGAAACTTGACCTGACAGCAAATTTCATTGGTGAACTGTCCAGTATTGAATCCCTAAAATGCAATATTCATTTGAAGGAATTGTTTCTAGTGGGCAATCCATGTACTGAATTTGAAGGTTATAGACAATTTGTAGTGGCAACTCTTCATCAGCTGAAAGTAAGATTTTTAAAACTTAAATTTTAATCCAAATAAAACATGAATAGTGTCATCTGAACATACTTATCCTAAACAAAATAAACCTGTACTTGGAAAGCTAATAGACTTTTTCTTAATGTTGACAGGAAATTAAATTATATTCCAAAGAATAAATGACTACAATAAATAATATGATAATGATAGGTTCTATTCTGTTGGAAGCACACTTATCCATTAATTTATCTGTCATCTTTATTGGAGATTCTTAAACAAAGGGGTTTTTTATTGTTTTTGGTTTGTTTGTTTGTTTTCCAAATAAGTGTATTGTACAGTTCTGGTGCTTTTTTTTCTCATGATTGTTGTATACAATGGATTTTTAAATTATTAGCACAATTGCAGAAAGTTAGTGGGTTGTTGGTATCATTCCAACAGTATGTACTAAGCCTGCAGTGTAAGACAGTAAAAAAATACAAGTTGGTGTAAAGTGGCACTGCAATGCACTGGCTGTAAATAGATTCTTTGAGATTGTGGTTTTGTGCTATGACTGAACTGATGTAACAATTTCCTGTCAATGGAACAGTCTCGGGCTTGAAATATGTTCTCACAATTTCCTTCAGAGAAGCACAGGCACTGCCTAACTTATTAAGAGTAGTTACTCAGTTGGCAGTAAACTTACACATAAAAAGAAACAATTTTGGGCTGAATCAAAGTCAGACAAAGATGAGAAATGGCTGAAGGAATCTCTCTACTGTATACTCTAATAGGACTAATTAAAATTCCTGGAAAATGCTAAAAGCAGATCTTAGACAAACCAAACCATTTTCAGATCTGAATAGCAAGTTATTTTTAATTCTTATAATAAAGTATAACTTACACAGTGCTATTGATATGTGAAAGATGTATTTCTAATTATAGACAGAACTTAATTATAAAAATTAAACTACAATCTAATAAATTTATTAATTTGAATATGTTTATAATTTCTCATATATTTATATTGATTTTTTTCCCCTCTGGAAAGTATTTGGATAGTAAAGAAATAGAACGTTCAGAGAGGATTAAAGCACTTCAAAACTATCCAGAAGTGAAATGGAAAATCAGAGAACAGGAACAAGCTTACCTTCTCAAAAGGGCCAGAGAAAAGGAAGAGGCTCAAAGAAGGATGCAAGAAAGAAAGGATGAGAAACAGAAACAGATGGACTGTAAGCTTGGATTTGACAGGTAACAGTAAGCAACAACAACTGTAAGAGTAAATATTATTTTCTTTCTTTATTCACAACGTTGCCTTTTTTCATTAAATTTCATTTAATTTCATATAATTCCACTTAAATATTTTTGTTCATCTTTATTTTTGATTCAAGCAGAATTACAAACATGATTTATTATTGACCTGCAGACACAGTTCAATAGAATTTTTACTCTCAAAACTCCAAGTTAAGTTGTCTGGGTGCCAAAATAGTGTCATTAATAGTTTCTTTCAGGAGAACAGCTGGAAATTGTTATTTAAGGTAAAGCAGAGGTTCCAGAGAAAGCAGCTGTTCACCTATAATTGCTTTTGCCTTAGCATTATGACATCTGAAGACTGAAATGGAATATTGCAGATGTTTGGTGTTAATTTTGCTACTTCTTCCACTTCATCTCACTGATATTACCTGGACAGCAGCAGGATTTTTGTCTGGGGTCATCTTCTACTGCAGTTGCCCCCCGTCGTATTTTTAATCCAATAGAAACTGTTTCATGAATCTGCCTGCAGAACTTTGTCCTCATAGATCACACCTGTATCATAAATAAAGTTTTCTTTCTCTATTTATGGAGATTTACAGAAGCTTAGAGCTAGAGAGAAAAGATTATTCTGGTGTTAAGATTGCATTTGAGGAGATGCTCATTGCTACCTTATAAATTTCTAATCTGTTTCTGCCTGTTATTGGGAATTCTTAAACAGCACATGGACTGAAGGTTTTGTCTCACCTGAAAATTGTGAGGGTATCTGAAAATCCTTTTTATGAAATTAAATCTGTTGAACTATCTATCAGGGTTTTCAGGGGATTAGGTATAGCCATACTATCACTTCATCATCAGGTAAATGAAAAACATGTCAAAATATGCTTTGCTCATTGACAAAAGAAGCAGAGCAGAGAATGTTCTCCAAATTTATAAGATACCAAGATACCATTCTTAGTAGGAATTGTACAGTTATTATTGGGTTGAGAAAATATTATTGCAGTAATTTATTAGCAAGTTACCCCTCCTTCATTTCATTGAGATAATATTTCGGTGATCTTGTATAGCCCAGACTCCCCACAGGAAAAACCCAATCAGGCAGAAGGAGATGGAGAGCAGGAAAGATGCAGAACATTTGAAAATGATGATGAAGACAGAAAATTTTGGGAGGAGCCTACACCATACACTCCAGAATCTAGATTAGAAACTCACAGATACATTGAAGAAAAACGGAGAGCTAAAGACAATATAAGGTACTTTTTTATTTTAATAACTTTGATGAATTGAAGAAGGAGAAATCCTTAAAGGTACCGAGAACAGGCAGGTGATTGCCTGACATTGAATATTGCTGAGAACCGTCAGCTTAAATTGCTTGTTAAATAGGCTGATACAGTCTAAACTAAATGTTCAGATTGTTCATTTTGTTTTCTTTCATTTTCTAAACTTCATTTAGGTACTCCTTATTTTATTTTTCCTCAGAGTTTTTAAATATAATTTGTTTTTTCAACTTCATTTTATGGAGTTTAGAAGTTTCACTTTTCTGTCAGCTAACTGTTTTGTGTAGTTCAATATTTAACATTCTGCTAAAAACATTTATCTATAGTGCAGATTGCATTAGGTAAATGCCGTACAGGTCATGTTACAAGTATTTTGCACAAGTAGCATTTCAGGCACTTTTTCCATGTAACTGCGAAATTTTTTTCTCATACTTTATCAAAGAATAAAGTTTTCTTTCTTTCTTTCTTTCTTTCTTTCTTTCTTTCTTTCTTTCTTTCTTTCTTTCTTTCTTTCTTTCTTTCTTTCTTTCCTTTGTTTCCTTTCTTTCTTTCTTTCTGTCTGTCTTTCTTTTTCCTTCCTTCCCTCTCTTTTACTTATATGACATAATTTGTGCCTGAGATTTTTTTTTCCTGGTCTATTTAAGGTCTTGGTTTTTAAAATTTTTGTCAAGGCTAAGTATTCAAAAAGTCAGTCCTAGGGAACTTTCCAAGATATCTGGAAATGTGCATAACTTGTTGCTATTGTGAATTTACGTTCTAGCACTTTCCTGGAAGAACTACTGAGAAACTCAGATTCTAGCTAGTTTGAATTTTGCTGTGTTTGGAAAGGCCTTGCTCTTGTCAAAAGCAAATGTGTTCCAAATGCTTCCCTTAAAAAATTCAAGGACAGTCCAAATAGTGTTATAATAAAGATAGAATAATTAATTTCTGGATTTTTCTAGATTTCCAAGGCATTTAAAGGGTTTAAAAATCCTTTCATGGCTCATTTTGATTTGGTGTTGAGAAAGTTTAATGGAATCTCCTTAAAATGGTTCACAGGAATAGACGATTTCATCTGGAAACAGACTATTAAAAACTAACAGATGGTAGAATATAATTTGTGAGGTGTTTCTGAGAACATCTTTAGAACAGAGTGGTGGTTCATTCACTTTGCATTTAAATGTCAAGTCTAGGAATTCAGGTGTGGAGACTGGCAGCCCACAAATCCCACATTAAAGCTGATTTATATTGTAGTGTTTAACACTTGGATAATTGTCTTTCTTAAAAACAAATTTTTTAATGTAGTCATTCCAGTAGGTCTACTTAAGTATTTTTATTTCTTCTCCAAATCCATTGTATTTATAGACCAAATCTATTTTTATGAGGTTTTCTGAGGTGTTCTAAATTGGCAATATTTTATATCTATCATTAGTGATTTACCTTTAACATTCTCTTAATCTTGAACTTACAGTAAGAAATAAGTTCAGGAACAAAAAAGAAGCAATGCATTTTTGTTGGAGTTTTTTGAGAAATATTTTCCCTTTTAATATGCTGGCTGAAGTGGCCATACCCACTATATTGACCAGCTGAAGAGTGGATCAATGCAGCATGACAATTACAGTGCTGTATTTTTAAAGAAATTCCATATTGTTACTTAGGTGCAGGCAGACTTTTCTTTTTCGTGTTACTAAGATTCCTTGCTCTTCCTTCCTTTGCTCATAATCTAAACATTTACACAGGAAAATACCAGTATTACAAGTCTTAACGATCTTACTGTGTTCTACTTTGTTTGGGCAGATAAATTTATCGTAGCTGGTTTATTGTACTAAATGAAAGTCAGATATAGTTTAATTGCTAATAGCTGGAAATGGATGGTGAATATTAAAGTAATATATCAGTACATCATCAGCGTATCAGGAATATGTATTGCATTTTTTGAACAAAGAACACAACAAAAAATGTAATATATGCATCAACAATTAATCTATATGTCTGCCTTTTGGTCCTTCTGTATCCTATTTGATGCTGCTTGTAATCTTTTGACCATCAAAATTATTTTTGCTAGAGCAAAACAGTGATTGAGAGACACATGCTGTTTGGAGGTAGGCCAAGCACTTGTTCCTGGGAGTAGTCAAATGAGCATGAATAAAAATTCTTTAGAATTGCTTGCCCATTCATCAAACCAGTTATCAGTGGCAACACCTCGTGATGAGTTTGACCAGTCCTAACTGGAAACATGTCAATTTCATATATTTAAGCCATCCATGGTTTTCTTGTGGTATACCATAAAATTTGATATATTTCTATTTGATAATGGACATGGTGGCATGCAGAAGTTACTCTCCATGTAAGATGTGACATTATAAATTATTTGCTCATTTTTAGATGACGTTTTTAATGTGCAGTTGGACCCGTGATGCAATCTGTTTTATTCCTGAACTAAATTGTAGTCTTAATATGAAATACCAGATAATTCTTACCTCTTGCCATCTTCTTCTTTATTTTTGCTATTAAACATAACAATGCAGCTTTTTAATGATTAACCATAAACAATTTTTCTTTCTGTTTTGTTAAGGGAATCAAAAAAGAGAGAGAAGACTGCTTGGACATTGGTCACTGCAGAAGGGAAAGTTCTGAATGTGAATGTGCCTAAGTATGTAAGGTTAAGAGGTTAAATAGTCTAATCTCTCTGTAGTTGATTTGGGCAACTATTTCAATGTCTGCCACAATCCAAAAATAAAAGGGCTGAGAAATTCTTGTTGCAGTATTATATTCCTTGTGGGGAAACTGTATTCTAAATTTATATTCTGATGCTGGAAAAAGAATCAGTTTTCATTGAGTTAAGTGTTGAAGATTGTTTAATTTAACATCTTTGTCTTTAAAGATTGAAGAACTTGTTTTTCTGCAAAAGATGTAAGATATTTTAGTTTTTCCATTCTACAGTAAGGCTCTTTCTTGGAGCATCTTGCTGACAGTATAAAAAGTTTAACTGTTGAAGATAAATGTGTTTGAGAATCCACTTTAAATGTGGAAAAATACATCCCAGTAATATTTCTGGACAAAATCATTCTGTCCTCTGATGACAGATGTAAAACTGGCAGAATTGGGAAGGATAATCAGCTTCTGTGGCAAGAGGCCCTGTGACCCTGAGAGTCTCCAGCAACAGAGGACAGGGATACAGGGAAGTGTCGTGTGTTTTACCATTGACAAAGGCACTTTGGTTTTTGAGTGTTTTGGAATGAGTTTCCAGGGATATCAACCATTGATTTTACTTGAACCAAACCTTCATTTTCTAAGGAAAAGCAGGAGACTGAGTGCAAACATAATTTCCTTATAAACAGCTCCCCATAGGGCCTACTGCAGGGGACTTGAATGAGAAAGTGGTCACTTACTTCTCGTTGTCTCTGAAATTTTTCCATTTAAGACTGATTTAGCTGCAAAACCAAATCTATGAACATGCTTCTCATTAGCGTGAAGACTCCTTTTTAAATCTTGGAAATTTAGAAATCCTTGAAAATTCAAGGAATTACATGTAGGCACAATTTCAGTAGAACAGAGAGAATTAAAGGTAGTGGAAAAGCTTAGTGTCATGTTTAGTGTCATGTAGAGCCATGTTTAGTCTGTCTATCTCCTGTGCCAGGAGATACTTTCCATTGTATTGATGTACTTTTTTTAGTAAAAATGTGTTGACTGAAAAAAAAATTGTACCATTTTCTAATACAAAAAAGGCAAACCTAAAATAATTTAAGTCTTGTGTTAATAGAAGATGATTGTGCCTCCAAAAAGCAGAGATACTTAGACTAAATCTCTAGCTATCTTTTTTTTAAAAAAACAGAGTTCACTCTTAGTAGCATCCCCGTTTGTGTCACCACAGTTTTCTGAATTTAGTCTGTGGATGTGCCCACATAAAGCCAGACCAATGAGTATTTTTTGTCATGGCTTCAACAAGAATGTCACAGCTGTTCAGTGCAATCTGGCAGTGTATTGGAGAGACATAAAGAAAGAGATACAAGTAAGCAGATGGTGTTCTCCAAAGTTTTTGCTTCAACGTGAAAGTCTCATGTCCATAAAAATGTCCAAGCTTCTCTGATGTTCTTTTGGAAAGTTAACAAGAGGAATGCCTGCTTGCTGCTGAGGACAGACTATTTCTCTTCTTCAGTTCTAATTAAGATTCCTCATGGAAAATTTTATAATTCTGTCCTCTTGTTCACCCTTCATGTTTCAGTGGATTTTCAAAATCAGTGATGCAGTAAGAAAAAAAGCCTGAACAGGAAATAAAGCTGTTGTATTCTTTGCACTTTTCCATTAAAAAATACTGGTAAACTACATCCTCTGTAAACTTTCTTGAAAATTGACTGTATCAGAATATAGGAGAGCAAAGAGTGAAAAGTATATCTGGCAAATATTTTTATTGCTGAAAAAATTGTCTAATCTGTTAACATTTGAGCATCTTTCCATTACCAGAACCCAACTTATCGAAGTATTTTAATGTCACTGAAATAGCCCAGAAAAATTATATTTAATCTTTTTTTCAGATAAATTATATATTATCTTTAATTTTATACCAATAACTAATTTATCAAAAGCTTCTCACCCCAAGCTTGTCATCCCAAGACAGTAGGTAATTTCGTTCTGGTTTTCTCTCTGCTTTCATGTATGGGAAACGTTTGAGCATATGAGCAGAACTTGTAAGTCTAGACTAGGTCTCCTTACAGTTGTGGTAATATATGGCATCAATTTATAACTGGTAAGATTCGTTCTCAATTTTAAGAACAGCCAACAGATCACAACCAGAGAACTAATACAATCTACAGGTTCATTTTCAACAAATATAAAGCTTATAGAATCAAGGATATTGTGCAAATCATGTTTTATTTTGGAAATGCACAGAAAGATATTTATACTTGAGGCAAATTAATTACTGTGAACAAAAGTGCATTTTTTTAACTTACCATAAGGTTAGAATAACAAAGTTCTATGCTTTTCATGCATTTTGGAACTGTTTTTTTCTATGAAGATGTAATAGAGCAGACAGGTTTCACCAGCAGGTGTCTCTCGTTCTGCGTTGTCAGAATGAGCTTAAATTTAACTGACCTTCAGCAGAATTTTTTTTCTTTTTCTTGTGGTTTGAGTAGGGAGAACAGAAAAGAAATGTAAGAATGACCTTGGCTTTTCTGTTCATGGGACAAATTGCAACTGTTTCTTAAATGATCACATGACATAATGTCTAAATGATGTTTGTATTCATCTAAAATTGCTAACATTTGAGCTATGCTGTAATGTTTGCTTATTCACTCCATTAGTATTTATCCTGGAGATGTTTCTTGTCATTGTTATTAGGCTTCATTTCTCTTTGAAAGATGATGAAGAAAACAACCAGATCGTCTTGGATCTCGCTGTTTACAGGTCAGATCTTTTTTCCCAATAATTTTAACGCTCATAAGATGTAATACACAGTGTTTCAATTTTCTGTAACCGGGACTTTTCAACAAGAAAACAAATAATAGATTGGATAATGGAACCAATCTCAAAACCTGTGCCAAAGAAGTGACGCTGAATAAGTCAAAGGCCCTTCAGACTGTTCTGTTAATCCTGAATGGAGACTGTGTCTGATAGTCCTTTTGGGTACTGACGTTTTCTGCAGTCCACAGGCAGGTGTCTTCCACACCTGTTCTTTTATACGTGTGTAAAATCTTCCTCGTTCTTCCTTTGCAGATAAGGGCTGTTGGGAGTGGGTTTTTTGCTCATGCTTTGGCCCTCGTAGTGCTTCAGTACAGTTCATGTGCTTCTAGTTAAATTCTTCTTCTCCCTGACACAGAGTAGATAGCCTTGTCTTATTTTCCTAGATTAGTGGAAAGAGTCCATGGCTTTTGCCTATTCTTGAAATCTACCTGAGCATTGCTTGGAAGAAATTTGTTTGAACCAGGCAAAATATGACAAGGAGATAGTACATATACTGCTAAGCATTACGGTGACCTTTTCCATTCTTCGGGAAGGGGCTGGAAACCCACAAGTTTATCTATCCAGAATAGAAACTTATTACATAAAACTTGAACTAGTTTCCTAGCACAGAAATATCATTCATGCCAGGTGTGACTTTTGCCTTGAAAATCATTAATTTCCCTCAAAAGAGGTTTGCTCTGTGTTTCTGTGTTTCTATGTTATAAGATACAGATCTTTTTCTGGAACCTCAGAAAATCTATTCAGATGCAATAAATTGTTGGAAAAACTACAGAATCACAGCATCATTTAGGTTGGAAAAAGCCTTCAAGATAATTTCCAGCCTTTTACCCATCATGACCTTGTCAGCTACACCACAGCATTGTGCCATGTACAGTCATTTCTTGAACACTTCAGGACCCTGGCTATTTCATATTTTAATAGTCTGTGCTCACTTGTAAGAAATGCAGAATAAAACATTTGAAAAATTCACCTGTAATATTGTAAAAGGGGAAATGGGAAATAGATACTTGTGCATTCCCATGAGTCACATCAGGTGTCACATAGTGAAGAGCAGATGTAAAAGTGGAGCTTTTACAGGTCACAGATTTTGTTAGAAAGAATCTAAAATTACTGTGTTTTCTGGGAATGTAAAGTATATATGTTTATTGTTTTCCAGCAAATTCTGTACAAAAAAGGGAAATTCTGTTATAATTTTGGTAGTAAAACCTTCAGAAGGAAAAGTAGCAAAATATTTTCACAATTGTAAATAGCATGTAGATTAATTTTCATATTAATGTAAGGTACTAAACTAACAGATGAAAGACCTTTTTTTCTTTCCTCAAGGATTTTGAATTATTGCAATTATACAATAGCTGATGTCACGGACTTGACAGAATTTAGACATTATTTTAAGTGATATTCACAGGAGAATCATGGGGTGTTTCTCCCAGAACTTTAAATCCTAGTAGTATTTTGGAGAATTTAATAACTGAAATTTAAACTTCTGCTTTATATACTGTGAAATTTTGAAAGAGCTATATGATGTATTGTAGATTGATTCATTTATTTGTATTTCATTCTGAAGACATTTGGACACTTCTTTACTTGATATTGATGTGCAGCCAACTTACGTACGAGTGCTGGTGAAGGGAAAGGTTTGTGATTTCTTAATACATTTATTTCAAATCGAGAGTTAATGTTTGCCATAGTTACTCAGTGGACTCTGGATCTGACTTTTGTGAGTTACCAGTCATTTGCATCTATGCAGAGGGAATGTTCTTTCAATACCAACATCATTTTGAACTACACATAAACTGTGGAAGTCCTAACCAGAACATGTACAAAGCCTGAAATAAAATTTCTCTTTCCTTCTCTCTCTCCTGCAGCACCATGTACCATAAATCATTTTCGAAGAGAGCTTCCTAGTTGCCTTAGGCTAGAATTTAGCAATTTCACAATCTGGAATTTATAGCTGACAGAAAGCAATGGATATATATTCTTTTGAAAGGGCATTTAAAATGTCATTCCAGTTTTCTCTCTTGTTGGTTTTAATTTTATCATCATTTAAAAAAAAATTCAAAGTACTTCCACAGTAAACCAAAATCCCTATTTTTAACTGAGTCAACTGCATAAACAAAACTTGAGAATTGCTTTACTCCTAAATAGACTGGATAATCTTTCTTATTTAATTGCTAATATAAGTCAAGCATCATTTTATAACCTTCTTTAGAATGCCACTTCAGGAATGGCAGCAATTCAGGAACATACATCTGAATCTACTTGTAAGCAAAAGCTATTTAGCACAATTTATTTGGTTTAGTAATACCATACATAAAGCATTTAGACCTGTAGTGTCCTTAAAAATCAAAGGATGTTATAATGGTGGTTTTGTATTTGTTCTGTCCATGTGAAAGAAAGAAAAAAATATTTTAGCATGATATCCTTCAATTCCATATTGTCTCATAGCCATTTCAGCTGGTGCTCCCTGAGGAAGTGAAGCCAGACAGCAGCTCTGCTAAAAGATCACAAACAACTGGTCATTTAGTTGTCACCATGCCAAAGGTAGGTAAAATAGGAGACATCACACAAAGGTCCTTAAATGTTGTGAGTACTTTGGGAATGTTTCTGAGTTACAGCTAACATCTGGCTTGCTGAAGATATGCAGTCTAGCCTTTCCCATCAGGGCATATTTTCCAAAAAAGGAACATTACATGAAGACAATTTAATTACAGAGCCAAGCCTTAGTATTTAAAATCCCTCTAAAGGAACATAATGAAAATCAGTATTAATAGAAATTTGTATTTCCTTTACTTTAAACAAAATCAGCTTTTTATATGCTAAACCAGACTATGCAAAACATGCAGTATTACACAAATCTGTAAGCAGATAGCTTTTTTTAAGTAATGAAAATAAACACATACCTACTTCCTTCTACCACTTGTGAAATAATAAGAACAAATCAGTTTATCAAAATTTGTGTGGCACACATATATGAAGGTTACATATAAATAAAGGGGTGATGCACTACTCTCATTTCTCATGTGTTTGGAAAAAGAATTGCTTAATTCATTTCCCCTTCATGCTCTGCCTGGCTGGAAAGGATCCCCTGACCAGCTGTACTAACTACTGTGACCATAGAGCAAGAAGGTTGTGGCAACATGGTGTTTCAGCTGAAACTGCTTGGAGCAGACAGGGAGATGGACATTCTAGGGAGGTGGAATTCCAGAGATGAGAATGGATTATATGGTGGAATTCTGGATGTTGAAGGAGAAATTAATCAACTGCAGCATCTTCTGCTGTTATGCCTTGAGAGGTTTGGGTTGCTTTTAAGGCCTCTGTAAGAATCTTATACTTTTGGCTTTTGGGATACGGCAATCCCACCCAGGGATAGTTGCAGTAAAAATACAGTCTTTTGGTGCTCTAGCCTTACCCTTTTGGCCTTTAGGAAGTTTCTCTGTTGTGTAAGGGCAGGGGACATGTGTGAGTCTACCAGAATATATGAAATACTGCATTTGCTCTGATTTAATTCTAAGACTATGCATCTAGTAGCTCTAACTTTTGACTTTTTCTGTTTGTGGTTACCTTCTATGTTCCCTTCTTCACTCCAGTCCCACACCATCTGTCTGTCCTTATGAGGACAGCCCCTCATCAAATCCCAAATTGTCAACTCTAGCATCAAACAGGCATTTTTGCCAAAAACTTCTAAGAATGCTGAAAATTGTACTTAACTGGTTAAGGTAAATATTTTCTGAATGTTCAAAATTCACTCTAATGAGAATTTGTTTCCATAAATTTGTTTGAAAATGAGGCCTTGACACTTGCCATTTTGGATGGTGTGGTTTTTAAATGTATATGAAATTTTTTGTTTAATAATTACTTGTCTTTGGGTTATTTTAAATACTGTCAGTTTTCTGTCCCATACTCTGTTTTTATTACTCATACATCTTCCTAGTCCCTTTGTGGAGGATCAATGGCTTAGAAAATGTAAATATTTCCAAGTGTCTCTGGATATATATTAACTCTTCTGCCTGTCTATAAAATCCTACCTAAATCAGCAAAATGAATATTCTCTCTCCATACTGTGATTGAGAACTGCCTTTATTCCATTATTAACTTTATATTTAAGCTACCTTGAAATTTTAGCTACACCTACATATTTTGCCTAGCCTGAGGCTCTGGAGCATACTTCATCTCAGAATACCTGATTCTCAGATATTTGTAAAACATGAGGAGAGAGAAGCATATAGAATAACTGGGTAGATGTTCTCAGCTTGGCCTTGATTTGATTAAAAGTGCCTGGCTCTCTTGGACACAGCAAGAGATGCATGAATGGAATGCTGCATGATGTCTTTATTGTCAGTGGATTCTGGAAAGCAGCGCTGAAGAAAAGCACCTGAGAATCTTGGCTGCCACGAAGTTGAACATGAGTCAGCAATGCCCTCTTCTGTCAAAGAACACCAGCTGTATCCTGGGCAGCATTAGGAGCGCTGCCAGCAGGTGGAAGGAGGCCCTCCTTCCCCCTCTGTTCAGTATTGGTGACAGACACATGGAGTGCTGCTCCTGTGCTGGGCTCCCCAGTGCCAGAGAGACGTGGACATGCTGGGGAGGATCCAGCTAAGGGCCACAAAGATGATCAAGGAACTGCAGCACCTGTCCTATGAGGAAAGGCTGAGAGAGCTGGGACTGTCCAGCCTGGAGCAGAGAAGGCTCAAGTACACAGAAATACCTAAAGGGAGGGTGCACGGAGTCAGAGCCAGGCTCTTTTCAGTGGTTCCCAGTGACAGTGGGCACAGACTGAAACACAGGAGCTCCTTCTGAAGGCCGGGGAACTCTTACTGTGAAGGTGACCAGGGACCTGCACAGGTCACCCAGGGAGGTTGTGACTCCTCCATCCTTGGAGATATTCTAAAGCCTTCTGGACGTGGTCCTGGGCAACTGGCTCAAGTGGGCCCTGCTTGAGCAGGGGGCTTGGACCAGATGACCTCCACAGGTCCCTGCCAATCTCCAGCATTCTGTGATCCTGTGAACTTCATGGATTTCCTGACCAAAGACAGATCTGTGATATTTCACTGCAATTGCATGCAATGGATGCATTATTGTGCACTGTTGTTCACTCTTCTTTATTATCAGTCTGTCAGTCACAGAATCTGTTCTCTTCCCCTAGGATTGAAACAGAGTGCTCAGTTTAAATTTTTGTGGCATAGATCCTCTTCAGATGATCTCTATTCATACAAATTTTATTATTATTACTATTATTATTAGGATGTAATATAGGAAGAAAGGTAAAAATAATGATTGACAACAGGAAGACCAATAGATATTTTTCTTGCAGAATATTCTGGCTGAGTTTATCAGTGCTTGAGAATACTAGTTCGAGATCACCAACTTAATAGGAAATTCTTCTTAGTAAGGTAATAGGAAGACCAGAATACATTCAGTTTCTTTAAGGCTGTATCAGTGACAAGACAAGCTTAATGACTATATTGCACTCTATTTTATCCTTTTGTTCTTAAAAAACAGTTATCAAAATAATATTCTTTTTGCAACTAGATAAATGGCGTGGCACATTCCTTGAATAGCTGAAAGGTTGTCCACTAATCTAAAAATAGTCTCCTATAATAAGGTTCATGCAATAGTATCCTAAAAATATCTAATCTTCTCAGTAACACAACAGAAATCTATCTAAATTCTAAGTGCTTTTCACTTGTTTTAGTGAGCTCCTGATCAGGTTAATAAACCTTTCACCATTCATCTTCTAGCCTGTTTATAGTTCCCTAGTCTTTAAAAACAAAAACAAAACCTCTTGCCTTGCCTCTCTGATGACCTTGCCACACCACAGATATTGGAGAGAGTAAACTCCACATGAAGTAAAAGAAAGGAATAATTTTCACTTTCATTTCTGGAAACATTTTTAACCATATTACTCACTGCACAGCAAATCACCACAGAATGGGTGCCTTTCTAAGGCAATATTTATCAATATTTTTTGGAAGGTCATCAAAAGAAACCAAAGGACACAATGTTCAGTGAAATAATATAGTGGCACTTTTAAAGTGTAGTGTTTATACTGCAATAATCCTTTATATGGAAATTTTACATGAGTAAGGTGTTAATAGTGACTACCCTGTACATGCCTCATGTTCTAGGAAGAATATTTGTGACATGAAGCTTCTCAGATTTTGAACTTCGGTGCTCTGGCAGCATCATCTTTACAGATGATGCAGGAAAATGAAAAGCTGGGAGATTCTTTAACAGAATTTGACTAAAATGGTCATATTAAATAAATTATTTCATAAAATGTCATCAGTAGATTACACTAGCATTTTAATTACTGCCTGAGTAAAAGCATCAAACCCTAGTGTCATTAACAAGCAGGTTTTATATAGGATTCTGAGACATCCTCTGTCATGTTTTAAAATTTTCTTTTTCTAAATTTAGTGAGTCAGAGAGAAAAATTTGGACTTTTGATTAATTATTTATTATATTACCAGTCACAAATGAATGCTGATAGCTTTTTATTTCCTGGGCTTTTAAAAGTGATTAGAAATTTAAAGATCAGTGAGAGTTAGATTCCTTAATTAATCTGAAAATAGGAGTGGTGTGTATTATGCATGTCAGAGTTATTTGATAGAATTACTTTTTATAATTCTCACTTATCTAGGTATGGTAAATGTGGTAATATTTCATTATCATCAAAGGCATGTGGAGACACAGCTGTGGAACCCTAGAAATCTAATAATCCTTCAGCATAAATGTGTTCAGGGAAAATCTGTTACTCAGAGGAATTCCCATTGTAGAATAAGAAAGCCATTATAGGAAAAAAAAAGGTGGACTGAAAAAATGAATAAAAATACAGCTTTTGTGTATTCCTTCTGTTTTCTCAAAAATACTCCAGATTTTATTTAAAACATCTATATCTAGAATCCTTTTATAATGATCTTAAAAGGGGCGCATTTTCTGATTTCTAATTAATCATAGTGATGCCTGGAAATCATAGGATATGCTAAGTTAGTTGGAACCCATCAGGATCATCAAATCCAACTCCTGGCCCTGCACAGGACACCCCAAGAGTCACCCCATGTGCCTGAGAGCATTGTCAAAGTGCTTCTTGAGCTCACTAAGGTGTGGTGCTGTGACCACTTCCCTGGGGAGCCTGTTCCAGTGTCCAACCACCCTCTACGTAAAGAACCTTTTCCTGATATCCAGTCTAAACCTCACCTGACACAACTCCAGGCCATTCTCTTGGGTTTTGTCACTGGACACCAGACAGGAGTTCAGTGCTTGCCTCTCTTCTTCTCATGAGGTTGAAGACCTAATTGAAGCCTCCCCTCCATCTGCTCCAGGCTGAAGAGACCAAGTGACCTCAGCCACTCCTCATACAGCTTCTCCAGACCCTCCCCTTCCTCCTGGCCTCCTTTGGATGCTTTCTTATAGCTTTATGTCTTTTTAATATTGTGGTACCCAAAAATGTACACGAAAATGTAAATATTAAAAACCATAGTATGATAAATATTAGTATCATAAAATAACTTTCAGAAAGCTTCATTATATTAATTTAGTCCATTTTCTTATATACCATAGACTTCAGATTTCACACTGTTATCTTGCTATTGAGCCCAAAGTAGGCAAATCCTAACTTCTCTAAGTTCCAAGGTCAGTTCTTGTCAAGAATGTATTTTCTTATGAGTGCAGAATCAGCACATTTTTTCACCATCCTTGATGGTATGCTCTGAGAACAAAGTAAGGAGCATGAGTCTCAAGGGGATCAACGGAATGAATTTCTGTTAAAAAAAAACACTTGAAAAGAGGGAAGGTAGAAAGAAACAAGGCTTGCTTGCCTTTATCAGAGCATGTACAGAATTAGTAGGGTTCAGCCTCTTCACACTTATTTCCAGAAAGAGATGACAAAAGCTACAGACTCTGTCTTTATATCTTTTGGGGTTCAGAATGGAGACTAAATTCACAAAGCTTCTGGAACAGATTAATCTCAAATCAATTGCACTATGAAACAGTCAATAAAATTAACTATTTGGTATAGTTCCTGTTCTTCCTCCTTTCAAATGCTTGAGAGATCCCTCTCCCATGCTGTTGTTACAAAGGGAAAGAGATCCTTTTGTAGTGAGATACTTTTGTCAATAGCTTGTCTTCCAAAGAATCATGGTGGACGTGTTTTCTTTGACAAGGGGAATTCATCTGGACTTTGAACCTAAGATTCTCTTTTAGCAAAAGAGCTGAGGGAGTTTGTGGTCACTTGTCATTTGGGTGAGAAGCCCAGACTGCAGCTGATTTTTAAATAAAAGTGTCAGAACAAATACTTGGACACCAGAACCAAAATGCAATCAGTAATGTGCATTATTAACATGATGCTAAAGCAGACAGTATATATTTAAATACAAGTAGATGTATATATTTAAATACTCTTTTATGTATAATTTTATAAATGTTTGACTATATTTCCATTCAGATAATTTGGTTTAACTTGCCTTATGTCTGTGTTTCGTGTTGAGTGAAGAGTGTTAAAATGTAACAGAAAGAGTAAATGTTACAAGAGAAAATTTATGCAGACACTCTCAATTTTCTATTTTTGAAAGATTATTTAAATGCTTGCAAGCAAAAGTGTCAACTTTTATGAGAATTATGTTTTGTCTATTTTTATTTTAGGCTAAAGAAATAATCCTGGCTAAGCAAAAAGTTTCAGCTTCAATTAAACATTCTGACTGCAATTCACAGCAAAAAAATATGAGAAGGTAATTCCTTTTCATCTTCTGCATCAGTTTTATTTTTATCAGTGTGTTATTCACATGCCAGAATATGTACTTTTTTTATATTATTATTGAAAATATGGAAATATTGATTAGAGTAAAAGTATGTCTAAAAGCTGTAGATTAATAAACTGCTTGGTGCTGTTCATTAAAAAGTTACCTTCTTCAATAGCAAAGCCAAAAACCACTTATTTTTGCCTATCTTTTTTTTTTCCATCAGCTCATTCAAGTTGTTAACTGGGATATATTAAAACAAAATCACCTCCTGAGAATGGCCTCTGCAGAGTTCCTTGCTATGGAACCCAACTCTAGAAATCTTTTAGAAAGCAATTATTCTGCTTTTAAATAATTTACTGTTATACAGGTTGATCTACTACTCTAGTAAATAGGTTCAAAAAGCAGTTCTGCAAGGTTTTGTAACACAGATCCATCCTATTAAATGTGATGTCAACTCCAGCTCTTGAAATCTTGTAATTAATGACTGCCCAAAGCAAGTGAATATCAGGGATGCTCTATTTTCTGTTTTTACCTTTAGCAAGTGCTTCTGTAGAAAGACAGGAGGGTTCATGAACACTTTACCTAAGTACAAATACCATGATGCATGTTTTAATCTTTCCTTTTCCTTTTGCTATAGCCAATGGTATTCATACCAGAGTAAGATATTGTAACAGCAAAGTCCCTTAAGCTGTTTATCTGTTTATATTTGAAATGTTGCACTTATTTCCTTTCCTGTTTGATTTCACTGTGTTGAATCTTGTTATAAAGGCTAAGTAGTGAGTAAAAAATGGTATTTTGGATCATGGCTGTTCCTGGTCTCAATATTTAGGACACTAGCAAAATGGTTCTGCAGGAGTCAGTTGTAATTAATTCTACTTTTAATTTCTTATTTGTAAGAAAAATCAGTCATTAACTTATTTTCATGATGATTTGCCTTATGAGAAGATGATAGGGCACCTGCAAGAATTTGTTGAGGTTACTAGTGAGCCCCGAGGACTATACCCTTTCCTTAAGTAGCAGTCATTAGAACAGTGCATCACTCTGATTAGCAAGTATTTCAAATATTTTTAGAAGGTCGAGGTCAAATGGAGGATATTTACTCTCCATTATACCTGCAAAGTCATGGAAATAAGGTGGAGTCCCTGGTGACTGGAAAAATGGAAACATTGCACCCATTTTTAAAAAGAGTAGAAAGAAGGATGCTAGGAACTTGTGACCCATCATCCTCACCTTTCGAGTTTCTCCTCTGCCTGGGAATCATGGAACAGATCCTTCTGGAAGCTGTGTTGAGGCACATGGAGGACAGAGGGGTGATTCAGGACAGCCTGCACAGCTCCACCAAGGGCAAGGCCAAGTGAACAAGAGAACAGCTACAGCTGTTATCTATCTGGACTTCTGTAAGGCCTTGGTCATGGTCCCTCACAGCATTCTTGTCTCTAACTTGGTGAGATACGAATTTGATGGATGGACTGTTCAATGGATCAGGAATTAGTAGGATGGTTGTGTCTAGAGGGGAGTAGACAATGATTCAATCTCTGGATGGAGATCAGTGACAAGTGGTGTCCCTCAGGGGCCCGTACTGGCACCAGGACATTTTCACATCGAGCACACTCCCAGAAAGTCTGTGGGTGACTCCAAGGTGGATGGTGCAGTTCCCATGCCAGAAGGTGGGATGCCATCCAAAGGGAGGTGGACAAGCTTGAGAAGTGGGTTCACATGAATGTCATCACGTTGAACAAGGTCAAATGCAAGGTAGTATACATGGGTCAGGACAGCCCCTGGTATAAATAAAAGCTGAGGAAAGAAGGGACTGAGAGCAGCCCTGAGAAGAACTTGGGGATACTGGTGAATGGAAAACTGGACATGAGCAGGCAGTGTGCACTTGCAGGCCAGAAAGCCAGCCATGTCCTGGGTGGCATCAAGAGAGGGGATGCTCCCTCTCTGCTCTGCTCTACCAAGACCCCACCTGTAGTTCTGCATCCAGCTCTGGGATCCTGAGTACAGGAAAGACATGGTTCTGCTGGAGCCAGTCCAGAGGAAGGCCACAGAAATTATCAGAGGACTGATAGGAGCACCTCTTCTATGAGGGAAGACTGAGAGAGTCTGGGTTCTTCAGTCTGGAAAAGATAAAAGCTTCAAGGAGACCTTCTATCAGCCTTTCATACTAAAACAAATCTTGTAAAAAAGATGGGGGCAGGTTTCAATGTGTAATTCTTTTAAAGTAAAAAAGGGGAAATGTATAAGAAAGACTTTTTGTGTTATGAGGGTGGTGAAACACTGGCACCAGTTGCCCAGAGAGGTGATGGATGCTCCATCCCTATAAAGATTCAAGGTCAGGTTGAATGGGACTCTGAGCAACCTAATTCAGTAGAGGATGTGCCTTGCTCATTGCAGAGGGATTGGACTGGATGACCTGTAAATTTCCTTTCTAACCCAAACTATTCTGTGAGTTTATTCTATTACTCTTCTTTGCAAAAGGAATGGTGCTTTTCCACAGAAGTGCAACTAAATCTTTAAATGCATTACAAGAAATAAGTTTAAAAAACAGCTTGTGGATTAGGAAAATATATTTCCTTAGAACCCTCTGTTTGCCTTTAGTTTTGGCTGCATAGTAAACATTTAAATAATAGTGGGAGCATAGAAGTAATAATGTGAAATGGTGCTCTTTCTTGCCAGCTGATGAACTAAAGATATTTCGTGGCATACTGAAACTCCAAGAATTTGTGCTTGATTTCTATGCAGTTTTAAATAATTATGAATATGCTTCCTGCAAATTTTGAGAGCTAAAATTTTACAAGAATATATACCACAAAAGTAGAAGTAGGAAAAGTCTTTGAATTACAGTTCTTTCTAAAAATAGTATGCCTTGACCTCTTTAGCTGAAAAGTTGCTGACTAGCCAGATGTTAAAAATTTGCTGAATAGTTGTCTCTTAGATTACAGAAGAGCATTCATTACAGTGATTATACTTGACAGCTACAGATGTCTTAGCTAAATGCTGTCAGACATATAATCTGCCAAACTGTAATGCAGAGCTTTAAATCTCTTTTAACTCTTGTTACATGAAGATACTGTCATTACTTCTGCCATGTATGAGAGATTTCTTCTGTGACTATATACGAAACTGTATTTGGAGCCTTCAAAAAGGCAAGTTTCTGTGGAAGGAATTTGACAGATTGATCTATTATATTTACAAAGCCTCTATTAATGCAGTAGTGCCATTCCTTACTGGAATTGGCCTCACAGTTCAGCTGTAAGGTACCAAAGTTGAATTTGCCACAGCTGCATAGAGGTAATCCAGAGGTAGATAGAAACTGACTTTTCTGAAGTTGTACTGGAAATCTTAAGAGTAGCAGTTACATAATCAACAATCCTTGTTTCATACCTTCAGCTTTAGACTATTCTTCCTTCAGCGTTTTGAAGAAGAAAAAAATTAAATAAAACTAAAAATGTCTCTAAATGTAAATATACACACATTTTAATTCCTCTAGTAGTGAAATATTCATAGGAATACAACTTTTTTTCTTTCAGTTTTTGAGTTTTCTTCTTTTGCTTTTGTTTTGTTTTTTATTTCTGTAGATCTTTATATACAGAAAGGTAGAGAAATGTAGCCAGAAAATGGTTTAATTAGAGGAGGCAAAGGAATGGCAATTTCTGCAGAATTAAAAACTTATCAGCAAGTTCTAGTCTATACACACCTTTTATATTGAAATAAGGAATGTAAGGTAGAGGTTATTTCTATCTTTGTAGTTCAGGCATTGCAAATCTGGCTGCCCAAAGTGTCTTTTCCCCTCTTAGCTATGCAGGAGTGCACTGGGTGACAAGCCAGCACATGTTCTAGAGAGTACTATGTAATCCATTAGGTTGGAAATCTGATTTACGTTCTGCTGGAATCAGTTCTTAGTGGCAGTGAATAATGTTTGGCTTTTTGACATTTTTTTGTTTTGTTTCAGTTTTGTTTGGCTTGTTTGTTTGTTTGTTTGTTTGTTTGTTTGTTTGTTTTTAATCTGGATTCTTAAGGAGAAAAAAAAGAAAAATATGTTGCTGGATTGTCCACCTCTGTCTGCTGGTGAACCCATAAATGCCTTTGAACAGGTTATCCAGTTTCAAGCAAATGTCACTAATTGTGAGAGACATAAAATATATAAAATTACGTGTTATATTGAACTTGAGACTGAGAAAACTGGAATGTTTTTAATCACTGTATTGGATTTTAATTCCAATCTTTTTCTAGCAAACATGTCATTATAAGACTCATCAACGGAACTTCTTTTATGGTTTGCAGTTTCAGTGATAAACAAGCTTTACTTTACTTTTCTTGAAGAAATCTTTGGTTTCAGTTGAGCTTTTCTTTGCTTATTAGCAAATAAAGAAAAAAGATTATTTCAAAAATTCTATGGCTATCTCACTTTAGATGTAAGTTTTGCTGAAGATGAAACATAATGCAAAGATCTGTTTTACTGGATGACCCTGATTTAGCTTGGTTCATTTTGGTGGAAAAGAGGCAAAGAAAAAATTTGTGGGAAAAAAAAAGTAGATGTGACAGTAAGAATCTTTCTTTGGGAGCGAGAAGTTCTAATTTGAATTCTTGAAGCAGTCCTTGTGAAGTGTCAGAATACTGCCTTTCCACAGACTGAATAACTGAAAATCTCTCCCAGTCTTAGATTTCTACAGCTTACACAGAGGGATATGATGATTTGGAAGGGAGAGAACTCCATGTTGTGAAGAGAAATACAGTAGAACAAAATGAGTCATTTCCTCAGGACTGGGAAGGGGAGGTAAGATGAGGTCAGAAACTGGATGGATTTGCAGACAAACTGATCTGAAAGAACTGCAAGAGGATTTACGTGATCTTTCAGAACCCAGTTCCTCAGTGTCTAAACCAAGCACATTTCAATGTGAAGAAAGCCAAGTGCATCTGAAGAGTAAATTTGTGCCAAGATCACAAATGACAAGCTAGTTATCAGTTCCATTGAGATGTAATGCCTTTCATAAATACCTGGGATTAGATCACAAATCATGAGAGCTGAGTAGTTTGCAGAATTAATATTTTCTGGCAGTGAAGTTTGCTCAGTGTCATGAAGACTCTGAGAACTTGTAGAATGCAAGTAATATTGTATGGGAAAGGAGGAATCGTAGGAACTGTAATTCAGTTGGCTTCCAGAAAAGTGCAGTGAGATACAACTAAGCAACATGTTAAAAATGTTTTTTACTCAAATTAATCTCAAAGTATGGAGTAATTTGCATTCTTATAGAGGTCTGGAGCTAATCAAAGTATAGGGTGTACATCTCCATCATTTGACTAATGAGAACAAAAGGTGGGGTGCTTCAGAAGTGATTTGAAAATTAATTTGCACACTGGCATCTGATAATGCTTAACTGTAATAAAGGTGAGAAGGCTTCAAAGCATGCCCTTCTGGAGAAAGCATTCTCAAGAGAACACTTCAGTTAGTTCCTGATCAGTGTAGTGTAAAGTTATCCTTTGTTGTGCATATGGGACAAGAACAAAAGTCAGAAGGCAGAGATGGACTTTAAAGTTGCTTTCTGACATTCCATAACTTTGAAAAAAGTTAGAATAACGTGTGTTTTCAATATATGTTTCCCAAGTGTTTAAGGGTTTCAAATTTGGCTGAAAAATTTAACAATTAAAAGAGAGAAAATAAGGTGATATTATAGCCACATGTAGAAATTCAGGGTCAGTTTGCATATTGCAGGTATTGGAGCATATTTCTTGCTTGCAGACACGGTCAATTTAAAATTTAGTATCTTAAAGTGATTATTCAAAAGAAGGAAAAGAATGGAACAGTGAAGTTGAAAATGTCACAGTGGCTATGATTTTCTGTCTTAGCGTTTAGAAACATGGACACTAGTAATATATACACTCTCAGTCTGATAAATCCTAATTGTGAAATATATGTCTTTTAGAACAGAATAGCCTAGGTATCATCATCCTTTTATTTATCAGAATATTTACCACTGATTTGTTAGTTATTCTTCACTGTTGTTTTGTCCCTGAGAAATGCATTTGGTTCCACCAGTATTCATGTCTTCCCACTGATTCTGAAGATTCCAGTTATAGCTTCATTTCAGACTACACACATGTACAGAGATTTAAAAGGTCTCTTACGCAATGAAAGAGGAATTAATTTTACAGGTACTTAAAAAAAAGCGTAATTATTTGCTTAGATTACCTAGTAGATTTTTTCTAAACTTATATTTTCAAAAATTGAGATCAGAGTATGACAAGTATCCCACATTTACCATCAATTTTTAACATACCTAAAGATTTGTCTTTCTCTAAGCTCTCAAATAAGATGTCATTCCATATACTAGCCTAACTCTATTTTCTTATTCAAGAAAAGGATTTATTAATACTTTGTCTAGGGTGATAATTATTTTTTGTTCTGTTTCATTCACAATGTTAAAAGATTTGAAAAAGTGCCTCTTCAAAGTGGTTGGATGTGACTCCTAAATATCTTTAGATACCTTGATACCAGAAAGGAAACTTTCAATCACTTGTCAATAACCATATATTCTGGATCAAAGATATGAGAAATCTCTAGCATTCTAAACTTTATTGAAATTCAGATGTTGACATAGGGAAATGTAACTATCAAATCAAATTTAAATATCAAGTATGGGGATTTAAGACTGTGTAAATAAAAGGGTAAATTATCAAGAAATACCAAATGATCCGATATGCCGTGTGTCACACACCAGATTGTTCAGCAGGCTGCTAAAGTTATGCAAAACTTTCTTTATTGTGGAGTCTTCTAATTTTATTCTTCAAAAGGCTAGCAAACTGTGTGGTGGTAGAAATAGCCTTTCAAAGGTCAGGAAGAAATAAAGGATTTTATTTATTTTTGTATGGTGCTCTAGTGTTTGACCATAATTTTTTATGGAAGGAAGTGCCAAAAACTGTGAACTTCATCTGTTTTTTAGACTTGAACTTGAAATAGTTTGCAAACACTGAGATTTTCACATATGTTCTCTAGCTGGTCTTTCAAGGAATATTTTTGTTTCCATAACAGCTGTTTTACCATTGCTTATGGAAGAGCTTCAGCAACAAGATGACTTTTATTCTGCTAGGTGAAATCACATGGAAAAACCCTTGCTCTTTCTTCAGAAACTGTTCAGGTTACCTTTAACCTCATCAATACCCAGCCTCTTTTGCATAGCTTGCATGATGAGAGCAGTAGATCTGTGTTGTAGCTGCACTGATTTCAGCCTAACAGAGTCTTGCTGTCAGCCAGTTGTTGTATCGTGGTAGCTAGGACACCACTGTGAGGCTTTACTAAACAAGTATAGAATGTTTGATCATGTTAATGTAAGTACATGAAAATTCACTTCCTGGAAAAATTCACCTGTGCTCGACTCTCAGGCTCGCCTGTTGCCAGCATACTCCAAAATTACTCGTGTTGTTGAAGTTTTGAGAATGGCTGATGCCATAACCTTTTCCTTGCTTGTTGATGTGGATCATTACTTTTGACACTTACTGTTAATTCATTTCTGGAGTACTGAAATTTATTCTGCTGCTAAGCAATGAGATGTTCAAACTCCATTATTGTGTTTTCATGAGTGATAATTCGTACAATTTTAGAGCTGTTCAACAAATGTGAGATACCAGTGCTAATTGAAATACTTCAAATTAAGGAAATTCTTTTCTATCATGTGATGGAGGCACAAGCTGAGCCTAATTTATTCTCATGTTTATTCTTTTTTAGCTTTTCCTGAGATGCCTCAGATTAGTGGTAAATGATTAGTTTAAGGGTCTGCTCTCTTCGTGATCTCACCAGCAGCTACTTGATAAAGTGATTCCAAGTCACAGCACATTTTGTAAATTACACAGGAAACAAAAATGCCCTTTACTTTTGGGAGATGAACATTTTTCAGAATGTTGCCACAAATTGAACATTATTTTGTTTCATTAAATAGTGTAGTGCAATATCAGAAAAAAAATCTAGCTTTATAAACTGAAGAATGTTCAGGGTAAAGAAATAAGACTTGTATTTGTTTTCATTACCCATAAAATTCTACACTGAGTAATTTTTGTTTATGCTACTATTTGGAAAAGATTTATGCAGATTATTAAAGCAGGCAGCTTCTCTGGCTGTTTGCTGTTTTCTGCTCAGAAAAAAATGATCAAATTATTCTTTTAGTACAATAAAAATCTAGTGGCATAGAGCTGAAAGAGGTGGTTAGGCTGGTGACTGCCTCTTGTGGAACTCCTGCTTTCCTCAGCAAAGCACAGGAGCACAGGAGGAGCCCTGCCATGAGCCCCTCTGCATCTCTTCAGTGGGACACAGACCCTGCACTCAGGTGATGCCTGCTCACATCTCCCAGAGCCCTGATGGAGAAGCACTGGCAGAATCTGGAAGTGCTTTGCAAAACACTCTCTTTTCTGACAACTGAAAATGGTGTATTTTCAGTTTGAAATCTTTTATTGTACTTTATATATAAATTTTCATTTCCTGTGTTGTTATCCTTAAAATGCATTCTGTCATGCAGTGACTTTGCCTCCCCCTTGTTTGTTCTATTTATAAGGAGCCTTTCTGATCTCCTGGGTAAACACAGTTTTCTCACATCTCTGAGGGCTGAGGCACTGTCTTTTCTAATTTTGAGCTGGGAGCTGTGACTCAGTATAAAATAGAGTATGAAGATGTACAAATCATGTTATAATTTGAAGAAATTAAGCATAATTTTAAATTCCCATTTTGCTACTTTTTAATGTAAACAGTTACAAATTGCATGAAAGCAGGTTAGATTTTTTCCATTTAATCATTGAGCTCCTCTGTTAGAAAAGAACAATGAGATTAAATGCTTCAAGACAGAGAATATGTTTCAGATCTTTGATCATCATGTGACATGGATAGGTTGCCTTAATGAGTGGCCAGTACACATTTCTAGGTCTTATCTGAAAGAGTATCCTTAATAGCAATGGAATCTGAAAACTGTGTTAAAAATCTGAACTTTTCTTATAATTTTATTTAATTTTTTCATAATAAAAACATGGTGAGGATTCCTGTTACCAAAATATAAAAATTAGCTGATCAAGGCAGACAAGTTCCTACAATTGTATTTTCTCTATAAATGAAATTATTTCCGTTTTCCAAAGATGGACCTGTTACCTTAAAATTAATAGACAGTCAGTGGGAAGGAACTGTGTAAAAAGAAACAGAAAAAAAAAAGTAAAAACAATTGGATTTTAAAAAATTATCTTGCATCAAAACCCAACAATTTGTATTGATACCAGTAGTCACCGTGTTCTGATATAAAGGGAATTACAGCTATCTAAAATTAACTTTTTTCAGTCTGGAGACTAAGGATTCTTTTGTAGAAAACCTGGAAGATTTTGTATTACTTTCACGTGTTTACACTTAGAGTTTTTATTTAGCAATCAATTCTCAAGTTACAAGAACTCTTAACCCTGGTTTAATTGGACTCAGTAACAACCCTCATACCAAAGTCAATGTGTTTATAAGCAGGCACCTGAAATAGAACCATCGAATCACATGGTAAATTCAAACAGTTCTATTTGACAGTGAAATTAAGTTTTTTCCATTTATTTCCCTCTTATCTCAGGAGTGGACAAGTTGAGAAGTTAGAAGTGGATCCTAGTAAATATTCATTCCCTGATGTGACAAAGATAATCCAAGATAAGGAACGAACTGGACAGGGACCTATAAAGTTCGAACCACAGAAGATTACAGAGGTTAAGAAGAGCTGTGTTGATTTTGAAAATAATGAAGATGTTCCTCCTTTAATTTGAAACATTCTGAAATATCCCCGCTATAAGAAGCATGAATGCTTGTGTTGAATTCACGACTCTATGTGAAAAGAAAATGAAATAGAGCTGAAGTTGGCAATATCATTACATTTCCTATCAATAACTATTTATCCTGGTGGTTTTGGCTGCATTTTCTGTTAGTATATTGCTATATAAATTCCTTTTTCTAGATTGTTTACTTAGTAACTCTGAAATTAGAATGGGGCCTTATATCAGAGATTGTCATTTTTTCAAACAAATTACAGTCTGGGTTGAGAGATGACACATTACTGTAGAAAAAAATAAAGGAAGGAAGGAAGCACTTGTAACAAGATTTATGATTTTTCTCATTAAACTAAGGATAGGAAAAATCTCTGTGTATTCCTTCAGTGCTTTCATTTTCATGACGGACAACAGTAGAAGAAAAGGGCATGGTTAGAGTGAGAGATACTGCTGTAATCTACCATTCATCACTAAATGTCCAGCATAATGCACAGCTCCTGGATTCTGGAGCTTTCTTAACAATGCCACTCCTTGAAGATTTTGGGAGAAAATAAAGAGAAACTTCAAGAAAAAATAAGTTGAGTGACCTACATTACCTTCCTTATGCATTTGTAGTTGTTTATAATGGAATATTTCATTTGGAAGAGAAAATGCTTCAGATTCAAATCAGCATTTGCTTTTAGTCAAGAGCAAGCAAAGACAGGAAGACTCAAACAATATTTTCTGATTAAAACTTGTTTTCATCCCTAAGATAGAAGATTAATACGTTGCAGCTATAACTGAACCACTGTTTAAGTTCAGATAGTTCCCACAGTATCCTCAGCACATAGCCATGTTCATAGCACAGCCTTTGAAAGTGCTATATCCCTAATTGTGAAAAACATTGTGCAAAAACCTCAGCACTTTGAATGAAAATATTCCCATTAAATTCTGGGAATTTTTAGCCACTCTAAAGTGCTTTATGGTTCTTCACAGATGTTTAATGTAAGATAAAGATAAATAGTCTATCTTAAAGTGCACTGAAGAGAAGCAGAAAATATCCATCAACTTAGGCTGATGGCTTGAACCGATGCATTTTCTTCGCTTGCAATTTGAAATAAATATAGGGTAAAAAAATGAAGTTTCATACTAATGCTGGATATACTAAAAGGTGGAAAGAAAATTTATATATCTCAAAGACATAAACCAAAGTTGAATTTGGGCATCATCTGATGGACTGTCGTATCCTCTTGGATTTTTCTTTTGCACTCAACTCAGTTTTTCCAACTCCAGAATCAATTTTTCAATGGTACAAGCCTCTGAGCCATGGAATATATTTAATCAGCTCTGCTCTGGTTAATGGAGTATAAAAACATCAACTGCTTTTGCAATATGTCCCAATTCACTAGAAATGCCTAATCTTGCCAGCTAACTATGGAAAAGACACATTAAATTTTATTTGTTGATCTCATTGAGTAGCAATATGCCCACAGGGTGAGCATGGGTCATTTTCTGGATTGCACATCAAGGTTCTGTATTTGAGATTACACAGGGTGTCCCTGCTCCGGGGGTGGCAGTGGGGCTGCAGGATCTTGGGTCAAACAGGTTCCAGCAAGGGCCAAAGGTGGCAGCAGTACAGGAGGAGCAGCTGAGGAGGGACCCGAGGGGAGCTGGAGGAGAGGGAGGGCAGGAGGGGCTGCAGGCTCAGAGAAGGGGTTCCTCCCTGGCAGCCCCAGAAACCCTCATGGAACAGAGACCCCCTTGCAGCCCGGAGAGAGCCTGGGAGTCCTAAAAGGTGGTGCTGCTTCATGAAACTGTGCAGCCCTAGTAGGAAAACAGGCAACAGATAATGCCATTTTTAGCAGTCAAATGGACAATTTATGTTTTTATTCCTTTCAAACCTACTTCCTTTTGTTTTAGAAGTATTAATTTTGCTGACCTTGGATAGGTGAAGAAAAAGGGCTCCACCACTTTTTTGAAGATAAAAGTCAGTAAATTTTGGCAACAATTCCAAAATTTTTTTCATTTCCTGTAATTTCTTTGATTGCTGTGAGGATATCCTGATGTTTCTAAGAGGTAAACTTTTTACAGGCTTTCTCTTTTTCTTCACTGCTTATTTCTGAAAATCTTGTTGGGACAACTAACCTTTCTAACCTTCAGACAGTATAGATTAACCTGTCAAGACTTTCAGACAATTGTGGAAAACAGAGGCATCCATGCAGCCTGGTCAGGTATGGTTATTTTATTGTTTCATAAACAACTATAAAAATTAATCACCAATGTCAAAGCAAAGGATAATGTGATTGTGTCTTTCCCTATTCCAACTCAGTTCTCTTTTTCATCTGGTTTCATTGTGAATAGATTTTGCTCTGTTCTTGGGGGGAATAAAAATGTATTGAGCTACAATTACACCTCATAGGAAAATTAATAGCAGGTACCAAAACATTCTTGGAACTACTGAAGAAAGAGTTGTTTCATATGGTAACACAATCTTAACATAACCGGGATCCAGCCTGAAAATTGAGTATCTTCTGAGAATCAGATCCAATAAACCTCTCAATTGTGTATGGCCATGGAGAACACAAGCAAAGATTGATCACAGGCAGAGGAAGTGCATGAGCACGAGATGACACCACAAGAGATAAACACACCTTACAAAATTACTGATTAATGTAATGCAATTTTGAGAAAAGAAGAAAAAAGAGGAGAAAGGATGTGCAGCCAACGTAGATAATATATCCCCTGCACAGGGAAAATGAAAAGATAACAAAAGGAATGAAGGATTGTCAGACCCCTCAGCAGAGAAAGGAAGACTGAGGAAGGAAACTCCAGCATTTTCTCTCACAGTTAAGGACATGGCAGCTGATCAAAGCCATTGTGCATCTGGAACATGATTGTCCTACTTAGAGGAGACAAAACGTGCTGCTTTTTTGATTTGCCACTTGCCTCATTCTGCCACTGCAGATTCAGCAGTTGTACATACAGCATTATCTCTTACTATGTAATTGGGTTAAGTAGATTAAAATTTCACTGAGTGTGTTTTGTGATATTTCACCTCTAACTGGATGACTGGATGAATTTTAGCAGTATGCAGTTGATGGATTTACTCATCATCCAATAGACAGGAGATGGATGGGGTTAATGATAAATTCTAGCAGTATTGAGAGGAAAGATGTGTAGCAGTTCAGGAATGCCCTTGGATTTGCCACAAAATTTTCCTCTTGTTCTAAAATTGGGATGGGATGTAAGTTTTGGATTTGCCATCAGAGTGAGAGTTCTGTTCATATACAAAACAGAAAGAGTCTGGTTCCCTCCAGCACTGAATTGATTCATCTTGGTCAAAAAAAGCAAAAGGAGAAGGGAATCTGTTACACTATTACAGGGTAAAGCTATCCTGAGCTTCCAATTACAGTTGTAGTGCAGAACAATGTGCAATAAAATAACAAACTTGGTTCAAAACTACCAAAAGGTCTTTTAGTCTTAGATTTCTGAATATACTCAGTAAGAGTATATTATATATAGGGTAACAGTACTGGACATGCAAAATATGCTTTCCCACTGCACATTTCAAATGGTAATTCCCATAAGGGGGAACTGGTGAGTAGCAAATACATTCCTTACTGATTAATGACTATGAAAGAAAGCTGTAGGGGGCCTGAGCATTGGTATTTTTCTGAACAGCTGCTAAAGAGCAGGTGTTTGCTGTCAGTGCTGAACTGGGTAACTTCACCCAAACTAAATCACAGCATCACGGAATGTTCAAGGTTGGAAGGGACCTGTGGTGGTCATCTGATCCAACTTCCCTGTTTAAGTTGGAGCCAGTTGTCCAGGACCACATACAAATGGTTTCAGAATATCTCCAGGGATGGAGAATTAACAACCTCCCTGGGTGACCTGTGCAGGCACCTGGTCACCCTCACAGTGAAAAACAATGTTTCCTGATGTTCAGAGGGACCTCCTATATTCAGTCTGTGCCCACTGTTTCGGTGCTGTCACTGGGCACTACCTATTCACAGTTAAATTGCAAATTATTTGTGAATAAATGTATTTCTTTTGTTGCAGAGTCAGCTGTAGCATGCTGAAGCTTATTGTTCGCATTTGCAGCACCTGAGCAATACTGGCAGAACAAGTTTTCTCCTTCCACCTCTGATACACCCAGGCTGAGTGAAAGTTCAATGAAGCTGAAATCTAAGAAAACGGCATATGAATTAACAGGAACAAAAGATAGGACATAATTCAGAAAACACAGCTTACTCAGAGTGACAGTTCATGTTTTACTTTTGAAAAAGCAGGAATTATAAAAGGTATTATTAGTGGCAGGAGTGCTGCTCTTGGTTGCACAGTTGTGCACTGGAACTATCTAATCAGGTGGGGTCTCTCTGAGGCAGGTTTTGTACAAATTATTCCTGCATCCAACATGTCACAGTCAAGACACTGTGAGAGCCACAGGGTACATCAGTTCTGGAGACTGTTTATCGTGTTGGTTTCAGAATCACCATGGATTACCTGAGCTAATTATAAAGCATAGACATTAGAAGGAGCAGGGAAGCAAGGAAATAATGTTAGACAGATTGGGCATAGTTTGTTCTGCCTTACAAACCCTTCCTACAGACAACAGCAACCTCTCCCTTACATAGAGCACAGAAATGTGAGCCACAGATCCATTAAAGAAACTCTGCAGCTCCTCATAGAGAATTGGCCAAGGATCCAGAGTCAAAAGCCCATTCTCTTAAGGAGATGGGCTAGTACAGAACCAGCCCTCTGCTTTGTCTAGGTGTTAGCATAATAGTTTGCCCTTGGATGAGTTCAGATCTGCACGAAGTGTCAATTTTCCCATACAGGGCACTATATGGAGGTGTCTAAACTTATAAGGCACTTTTCTGGTATTTGACAACAGCTTTTCTAGCATAATGCACAGGAAAGCCATAATAACCAGGTCCACACTTCTGTTACTGGAAATACAACTCTCAGTGTAGTACAGCCTGAGTGGGCAAATAAAAAAGGTCTCAGAAGTTATAGCATGTATCATATGAACAGAAGCACTTAAAAGCTCCACAGCTCTAAACAATAAGCATCTTTCTCCTCAGAAATTTTTATAGGAAATACATGTATAGAAGAGTTGA